GAACTTAGGATCTCTAGGTTGGCAAGGAGGATACGTAGCCACTTCACCAAACTGGTATATTGGTATATTTGGTAATAAGTGATAAATCATAGATAGTCAAGGTTTATTATGATTTAGATATTGTACCTACGTGGAAATTATGTTTGATTTTATTCAGGTAGAAAAACATCAAGATTGGAAAAACTCAGCTAAAAAACGTGTTTTAATCAACCAAAGTCAAAACCAAGCATCTAGGAAATTTCAACAAAGTCTGCCGCGGAGAACAAAAGCAAGACATTCGGCCTGAGAGGATAGCGTCAAGATGCCACTTTCAGCATTGAGACCCATGGCAAAAAGCAGAGATGCACCTCAAGTTGTAGCATTGAGACACTCAATGTACCGTCATGGCCAAAAGAAGCAGGACGCTCCAAAAATCCGTAGCGTTGAGATGCTCCATTCCTTCACGCGTGCACAAGAGACTCTGCCACACTTCGTAGCATTGAGACATTATGGACGTCTCAACGCTACCCCCAAAATCATCCTTTTAGAAATAGATCATTTAAGTTTCGTGTCAAGCATCCTCGTTCTGACAAAAGTTCTTCTCCTTCCTAAATAAAGACCTGGCTAGGATTTAGTTCTTCCAATTAAATGGTGGTTCAAGTCTGATTGTAAGCTTGTTAGGCTCGGGTGAGATAGAGATTTTTCCTTTCAAGTATTCTTTAATTTTTGTTATGATTGGTTATGAACAAATGATATCAATTAAATTAACACCTTAATTGACACCTTAATTCATATTCACTGTTCCACTGCAACCCACAAGTTTATGATTGATTCATGACAAGTTTATGATTGATAATTGTCAAGTTTATGATTGATAATTGTCATGAATGATTGAATTAAGTTGTGTGTATATTTATGGCTTTTCCATGTTACATAGTTTTCATGATAGTTTCTAGGAAAACAAAGGAGCAACGTTAATTAAATTGTAACTATTTTAAATTAATTGGTTTTGATTTAGTTATTCTAGTTGTTTTAAATGCTATAATTTGATTGATATGGAATGCAATCGTGATTAATTAATAAGTTTTGATTTGGGTGCTTGGTATAAGGTAATTATATTAGGGGAATCAGACTAAGTTCTTGAATTAAGAAATCAATTTTTTCTTTATTAAAAAAAAATTCAATTTTATGTAAAACTTATAATCAAGATTATGGATGAAACTCACAGAAGTTTGGTAAGATTCTCTGTATTCTTTTTTAGTTTACTATTTTAAATTTCAAAATAAAAAATCAAACAAGTCTCTATTTTATAAAACTTTGAAAAATTAATTTCATTTATTCCCTTGAAATTCAACCTAGTCTCGCTAATTCTACAATTTCAACCTGGTCTCACTAATTCTACATGTTAGATTTAGCGATCGATTATATTTAGAGGGCCTCAACAACCCATTCCAATAAGCACCCCAGATAGGAAGGATTCCTTTTATATATATATATATATATGTAAAGTAGCTATAAATGAATCATGGGTTGATAGGATTACCACAAAAGCAAGTGGCTGACCAACACACTCGGTCAACTTATCTGCGAATAGAAGTTCATCACCAAACATAGTTATAGCTCCAACGTTATGTCCACCCACAGGAATATCACTGGTGGAAATAACAGCGATAACTCCCTCTGGTTGTGATTTGGGAGAAAGAGTAAACCCCTTCACCCGTGCCAAAGGCCTTGTGCTATATATAAATGCTCCATATAGGCAATTTGTTGGTGAAGGAATATCATCCACATAGATAGCCTCACCTAAAATAGTAATTTGCATATTTACATTGGTTTCCTGATACTGAAAACAAGAAATCATGATAAACAAAATAGATCTCAAAGAATATGGAACACTAAATATTGAAGTGAATGCAGAATCGAAAGTATAACAGCTACGCAAATATGCAGACATCTGACACCAAGTATACTGGATCAAGCCAATGTTAGTATGCATAAAATTTTGGAAGGGGAGATGCTAAAACTAGCTCAAACGAGATGTACAAGTAGGTACACATCTTCGTATCCATGTAAATAAAGCTAGATAAATACCTGAGATGGAAGACCCACACGCAAAATTATTGGTCTCAGAACATTTCAGAGATTGTGAAGGCTCAATGCTCATCAGGTTTATTTAGACAAATTTATTTCATCTCTGTGATTAAAAAAAATTCGCAACTATATTATTACATGGTATAAAGTACCTGAAGCTTGTAGAGCAGCTCCGGATTTTATAAGGGCACTTCCAACTGGATGATATTCTGAACTTAATTGGAGTGTCTGCCGTCCAGATGATAGTAGAGTTGCAGTTTTATTATAAGCAAATGAGGCCTTTTTGCATCCATTTACGTAATCACTCTTAATTTCAGCATTTCCATCAACCAAGGAGCTTAAGAACTGAAAAAGAAAGCCAACTGCTAAACTTGTCCTATAAGCAGGAGATGAAGTGCCCTTTTCAGGAACTATGGTGGCTCCGATCAACGAGACAGCTTCATATATGACATTATAATCAATAACTTTTCCAGCCAGAAATTCTTCTGTCTTTCTTGCTCTAATTGCATGTTTAGTCCCATAGGCTCCAAAAGCCAGGTGACAGCTATTTAATATAAACCCGTTGGAACTTTTACAAGGAGAGATTACCGCTAAGAAAGCGGCATTTAGGTAGGACAGTGCATTTCCAAGGGGTCGAGGTGAAGCTCTAAAAGAATCAAACGTTACAGTAGCATCATTTGGATAAATATCTCCAGCTGAATCCCAATTTGGGATCTTAACACTTAAAAGTACACATTTTGGACCCAAGGGAGGTCTCTTAAGAAACTCATCCAACGTAACCATTTCTTGGCTAGAACCAGTTAATATACTTATCATGGAACCTGCAGCAAGAAGTATCGTGGCAATATCTGAAGGAAACTGTTTTCTTTGCGCCATCATCAAATTTCCCCCAATGCTGGCAGTATTTCGTACAAAGCCGGAAGCAACTTTCTCCATGTGGTCTGCTATTTTATTGAAGACCAGCTCACCTGTTGAGGAGGGTTTAGTATGTTTCAAAGCCTCAATAGCTTTTGCAATTGTCACCGCTGCACCAATCTGTATTCCCGTTGAATCCATACTGATAACTGTCAGCTCAGGGATGTGTTTAAGACTAATGTATCTTTCAACGTGTACAGATTCTTTGTAATATCCGACTTCCGTGTTGCCAACAACCAACTTAGTTTTGCTTATATCACTAGACTCATCGCATTCCAATAATCTGTTTAGCTCCTCAATGCTAACAGGATTGAACCAGGAACATCCCTGAGAGTCCAAAACAGGGACAGACCTAATTTCCCTTTTTAAAAATTCAGGAAATAAGCAGGGGCCATTCTTGGGATCATAAAGTGGCAACTTACTCAATTTCAGCTCTGGGCTACATCCGTTTGGCCAGAACGAGTTAAACCCCAAATCCTCCATGTCGACATCGGAAGCAAAACTCTTACAGGCATCAGCAATGGGCCTGTATCCTGTACAGCGACAGAGGTTTCCGGAAACAGCGTTTTCAGCTTCAGAAACAGTGAGTTTGGAGAATCCTGGCAAGGGTTGGGGTCGATTGGTGTTTTCAGCATTGAGGAGAGCAGCAAAGAGTGAAAGGGACATTCCAGGGGTACAAAAGCCGCACTGAGAAGCATGGAAGCCAGCGAACCTCTGATGAATCGAGTGGAAACCATGGTTGCTGTTTCCAATACCTTCACTGGTTGTAACGGAGCACCCATGTATACTGCAAAGCAGAGTGAGGCATGAACTCACTGCGAAGCTTTCCACCTTGTCTAACACAGGATCGTACTTGGACAATACAACAACACAAGCTCCACAACCGCCTACATTTCCAACTCAAACAGGTTTAGATCGCATTTCCATACGGTTGATATTTGATAAGCCGCCAGAGATTGTTGATGAACTGCAGAATTCGATGCTAGACTAACTATTAATTAGCAACCCCAACCCAATTTTTTTTAATTTCATGATTCACTTTGTTATATACCACTTGGTTGCTCGGTTCCAATCTAATGCATTCATAATTTTAAGTATATACATTTTTATATGTGGTAAATCTACATTTTAGGCCAAATTTTAAATAATGTAAATATATCTACGAATATGAAATAATAATGTAATATTATATTTTTTTGTTTCAGTTTCTTCATTAAATTAGATATTCTTTAAATATACCTACAAATGTTAATTTGTGGTCTTGCGGTCTTGAGATCTGCCACCGTTTAAGAATCTCTAACTAAGATACTTTTCCTGCATTAGATGATAATAGCCTCTACTTCGTTTGGCATCAAAAATCGGAAAGAAATAGTTTTGAAGGATGGAAATGATAGGAAATTCCTACCTTTATTAGGAAACCAATAAATTTTGAATATGTAAAAAATAAAAGTTTTTTTTTAGATGCACATAAGAAGAGAAAGTAACTATTTTACAATTCTACTCTTATAATATAATTCTTAAAAAGAAAACCGCTAATCCTACTCCTCTCTTTTCTCATATTTTATTATTTTTACTAAAAATAAGTAAACTATGTTACCCTTTCTTTCCCATCCTTACTCTTTTTTTCAACCCCTCATTTTCTAGCCGCATCCAGTTGCCTTCTCTTTTCGCTTCCTATCTCTGATCTTTCTCCTCCAGATTTCATGCCGGAAAATACTTTACTCCCAACAATTGAGGAGCCAGGTACTTCTCCTTTCATGACCTCCTCCTCTTCTTTCTTCTCTACCTGTTGGCACACTATGCTCGTAGTATTCCTCCACCTATTTTGGAGGGAAAAGTTTTTTTTTGGGACAATTCTATTTTTATTATTTATTATTATTATTATTATGTATTTCTTTTTTTTTGTATAAAAAGACAAGTGAAATGATTTCATTTCAAAATCATTAAAAAGAGAGGCTAACCGAACGTAAATCTTGCGAAGGAGTGAATACCCAAAACTGAGTGAAAAGTGTAAGTAGTAGGAAACCAAGGCATGTTTGGCGGCGACTGTAATAGCCATAAAAACAGATACCGTAGACAAGCACAAGGCAGGTACCAATATGAGCTCGAGGTTTCCTTCGTAACTCCCGAAACTTCATCGTTTGGTTAACGCAATTAACAATTAGAAGAGAGAGAGAGAGACCTTCAGCGCAGCCAGGCTTGGGACTTTTGAAACAAGTGTGGTAGCGCAAGAAGTGGAGCAGAGTAACGGAAGGGTCAATAGTAGAGGCCGAGAGCTGAAACCTCTCTTGATTCACTGCAAAAACTAGACCATCTTTCTGTTTCTCCATTGTGCTGCTTACTGGATAATACGCTCGTGGTAGGGGAAGCGGTGCCACACTGCCACTGCCCACACACAGGATATGAATATTAAATCATATATATACATGTCCTTTCCTTCAACGTCACACCATTCCCTTCGTATTCTTGTATGACGCGTTGCTCACTCTCCAACTCCAGCCATGTTTTTCACCTTTCTCTGCGCCACCTGGCAAACCATTCATCCTCTGTGCACTCTGCACTTCGCTCCAAAAACAGAATGAAACATTACTCCACTCGAATACAAGAACTAATTACCAACATTCCGCCCATCTCTCCTATGCTTTCAAATCTACCATTACACTCACAAACCATGCTAACTCATTCCATTACCCCTCTCACAATAGTGATTGTTGTAGTTGAGATACTCCCAGAATCGAGAAACCCCAAACTTTCCAAGCTTAGGTGACTTCAGATAACATAGCTGCAATTCCTTCATGCTTCTCTCAAATCTCTTCTTTACGCCAAGTACCTGTAAGATGACATGCAATTATGAACCTCCTTTTCAGTTTTTTTTTTTTTTTTTAAATAGTAATAATAACTAGAAAGGGTAACATTGGGTAACATTGTATAAGTCAATTTCTTCCAACCAAAGCAAGTTTGACAAAGCAGTTTTTAAAACACATTTTCACCGCTACATTGATACATGCCACCAGCTCTCAAGAATGGGGAATAAGTGGATCTATTTAGTCGATCGGAAGTTGCGTTCACCATTCCTAGATTATAAAATAAATATACGTATTCATGACAGTCAAAAACAGGTGTCGTGTCATGTCAAACACAACGAGAACATCAAATGCCAAGTATTGGAGAACTCTCTGGAGGACAGATTCCCCGTTCCTGGGTATGAGGGAAATGGATTCCATAAAAAGAACATTGCAAGAAGAGGATAACTTCTCTTCGCATATTGCAATAAACGTAATGGCGTATGATTTTAGGAAACTAAACAATTTTTTTACGAAGGTACGAGTAGGGATGAGGAGGGAATTTGAAACATGGACATCCAAGGATATTTTGGACATTTGCCCTAGATCTGAAGCTTGAAGTAAAATGTCCCATCCAAGGCACAAATTGTAACTCCTTACTCTCTCATGATCGTGATAAGGAATCTCTACTTTTAAGTTTTACCAAGAAAAATAATGAATCAAGTGCAGATTACCTGGGACTTGTTGATCCAAGAAAGTCTCCTCGAAAAAGCTGCTTTATCAACTTGAGGATTCCACGTATCACCAGTAAAACAACATCGGAGATCTAGAGCACATTGCAAGATTTGATTAATGATACCAGCCACGGATTGTGTATCTTCAGACAGGAAACATCTGCAAAGGTGATATACATAACAAATATTAGGAATCCAGTTCGACAACTAATCTGAAAATTTTCAATGCTTCCAGTTCCACTCATCAACAACGAAGAAAAATGAATAAATACTTTTCTAAATCACTTCATTTAATAAAGAAAACCTAGGAAGCACACAAATGTCCAACATGACCTTCTTTCTTTTTATTTTGGACACATTAAAACGCAGTGTGCTTCTTGAAGAGAGGTACCTTGCACCCCTGGGTAGCCTCTTCCTAAAGACACCCCTTCACGAATATGGCAGAAAGTTTATTCTATTTTCCCCATGGTCTTGCATAAAAATTTATATGACTTCAAGTTTATTCTATTTTCACCATGGTCTTGCATAAAAATTTACATGACTTCCTTCTTCGGTAGTTGGGTGGTGATCTTTTTGAAGGAAAGGCAAAAGTCCTGTGGCTAAACATTATCGAAGGTACTCTTAAGTAACTTTGGTTGAAAAAACATCATATGATGTTCAAGGGCATTGATAGAGTTTTTGCAGATATCAGGTGGTTTTCACTTTCATTTTGACTTTTCAGGTTCTACTACAAACAATTTTTTATGTCAATTTTGTTCCTTTTTTTTTTCTCATAAGAAATTTTGTTTCTACAAAGCTAGACTTAATTTGATCTTGTACAACTGGGGAATATTTTGTAACCTTGGTTGCCTAGAACTTGGAATTCAATTCTTACCCTCCCCTCTTTTGAATTCCTTCATTTATCCAACTAAACTTGTTTCTTCTAAAAATAAATAAATTGCAGTTATTTTTTACCAAAAGAACAGAAAGTCAAGCATTCAGAAATAATCTTGCAGTTCCTCAAGAGATTTCAAAATTTGAAATAGAATCTTACGTGTGTAGTGCATCAGTTAAATAAACCATATGCATCGACTCGAGATCCATCATATCCTTTGCCTACACAAAACAGAAGCATAATTAGATAAAGAAAAAACCAGAGTGTTCGAATGCACCAAGAAATATGTCCACAAACAGTTCCCACTCTTGGGTCATGGAAGATAAATAAAAACACTGATAATACCATACTTCTCTCCCGTATTATTTGTTAAGATGGAGACCTGCTTGGTAAAAAGTGCTCAAGATTTCTTGAAATAAGAAATAGTGACATCTAGACTCTAGGATGATATGCATTGTATGGTCAGGAGATATCTTAATACGTGGAGATCAATATGAAGAAAATTTAATTGATATCAAGTAATACCTTATAGGCGTTCTACAGACGGTATCAGATATCGATGTAATTGTTGAAAATTGGTAATTTGAACCAATAAATCATGATAACAAAGATTAGAATCCCTGTCGTAGTTCAGGAGGCTAAGGCCTATTCGGAAGTCATGTTAAAAACAGTTTTAGTTTTTAAAAATAAAACAGTTTTTTAATGTTTTACAGAAAAAAATTTAATCACTCTTTTTAAAAATAAAACAGTTTTTGGAAACTACTTGTTTGCACATATTTTTTAAATGAACTATTTACTGGAACAAGCACTCCTCAAATCATAGATTTGTAAGTCGTTCCAAGTGCATGATAACTAGGCCACCAAGTCACCAAAGGGCGATCCCATTGACTAGGGCTTGAGTTTTCTTGGCCATACCGGTTTAGAGGTCTCATGTTCAAATCTTTAGGAGCTTAATACCAAAAATCCTTGATGTCTCCCAGGTCCGGATCTTAGGGCGGGCATGAGTGCCCCGGATAGAGGGGAACAAAGCTCCGACTCCCAATTAATAAAAATAGAAAACTATGCCACCAAACCACAATTTTTAAACATAATCTTGAAAGCGAAAAGTTATTTTTCAAAATAACTTCCGACCAAGCACCCAAGAGATACCAAATATCCCCTTATCATTTTAATTCTCTCTATATATTCAATAATCTTGAAGTGAAGAATAAACACAAGAAATTAACACATTATGATGGAATATGGATAAAGAACAGGAGAATTCTTGGAAATAAGATGAAAAGGGAGGGACATCCCAGTCGTACACAAAAATAAAGATGTCCAACTAAGAAAAATAAATTACCTAGAACAACACAATAACCAATCCTGATGAACAAGAAAAGTGCCAAACTCAACATAATATTGGATATTAATACATGGGATAAAACCGTGATTCTCACCTTAAGTTGAAGAGATTGAAGAAATCTACACCAAGATACATGTGACAATTGAGATTCCACATAATATTGTAGTACACACACAAAATGATTGACTTCATGCCTGATCATGAAAGAATGAAAGGATAAAAATAGTCAGAAGTACACATGAAAACCACAAAAATAGAAATAAATGTCTAGGTTCAGGATGTATGTTAAAAGTGAAGAATGCAATCATTATGAACAAAGCAAAGGAGAAATTCGAGTCAACAAACTCGAGATGTACCTTGTCTTCACCAAAACATTAAGATGCTTGGTTTCCTGATTAATAACTTTGGAATGGCGATTCTGACTGACAAAGAGAACCATGTCCTGTCAATCAAAATTTGAAGCAAAAGATATGAGTTCCATTCATCCAAGAAGTTTAAGACGCAATGCAACTTCAACTGACTATTCACACCAGCTAAACTAATATTATTCTCTAGTTGGACGTCCTCTAATCTCCACCAATGCTAATGGAATTAAAAGCTGAATTTCTTTCAGTTGAAATGTTAAACCCTCACCTCTCTCCAGGCCAAAAATTGTCATCCATATAACTTTGTTCAAGTCAATCTTAAGTAATGCAAAAGAAGGGTATACGGTAAGACAAGAAGAAACAAGAGCATGCACCTAAAGAACCAATCCAAGAAGTTTATTTGTTCCAGAATTAAAAGGAACAGAGTTCTGTTTAAAAAGTATAAACTTTTTTTAATAAAAATTACAATATATTCAAAATATACTTTAAGAGTATTGCGACTCGACATCCCATCTGTTCTGCACACATCCAAAATTCCCCCTTTGTATGCATTATGGTCGGAAACGTAATTTTTTTGTACAATATCCCCTAAGTTGCAACAAAAAATTTGCATGGCCTTGACACGTATTTGTGCTTACTATGCTTTATAAATTACTGAATTGTCAGCTATTTTTAACAATTATGTTGAAACTAAATTGTTTGTTCCAATGAACCCAAATCCTATGACGTATCTGTCAATGGCAACATACTCACTCATCCATGTGCAGTAAAATTAAAGGATATATCACGACCTTCAAAGAGGACCAAACTTTGGTCAGAGAAAAAACAGCAAGCTTCACTTTAACATGAAAACTGAAAATCTCAGCATATATTTCCAATGCGGCAGGCGTCAAAATGA